TCCACCTTTAACCGAGCTCGCGCAAAAGGCAAAGAGCCAGCTCGCGCATAAGGCAAAGAGCCATGCAATGTCAAGCTCTGCTGGAACAACACACAGCATGCATTTAACTTTTATATTTAAACACGCACATCACGAGCTAAGAAGTAACGTATATGGCCCTCATCCATGTTCATTCATAAATCTCACGAATCGCCATAACTGGCGTTTACCTGCATCCGTTATAGTTCAGATCAGATTTTTGTCTCGGTAAGAGTCACAGATCAGAGGCAGAGCGGGTACTGGTCTTCCTGAACAGGGTTGGAAAACGGGGTGGTCTACTGCTCTGCCCCGCCTGACTCCACCCACCTGATCCTGGACCACCTGCTCTCCTCTGTCTTGTGACAAATATGCCCGCAGCCAGATATGGGCCTGGAATCCAAGGATGGATCCAGGATCCCAAAGGGTTTCATGTCAATAAGCTGCTGGGATCGGATTCTGGTACCTTCTTTAGGGCTCTTTTGGGCCACATGCTTGCCTACCATGTCGAACATAGGGGTAGGCTTTGTAATCCGTCCGCCACTCATTGGCGATCGAAGCGGCCTACGGACTATTTACTAAAATACACACTGATGACGCTATGCGGATACCTAAAAGACGGCTGAGCCCCGATCGAGCCACCTCAGCCTGCGGTGGCATGAGCTGACTAAAAGACAGCTTAGCCCCGATCGAGCTACCTCAGCCTGCGGTGGCATGAGCTGACTAAAAGACGGCTGAGCCCCGATCGAGCTACCTCAGCCTGCGGTGGCATGAGCTGACTAAAAGACGGCTGAGCCCCGATCGAGCCGCCTCAGCCTGCGGTGGCATGAGCTGACTAAAAGACAGCTGAGCCCCGATCGAGCCACCTCAGCCTGCGGTGGCATGAGCGGACTAAAAGACGGCTGAGCCCCGATCGAGCTACCTCAGCCTGCGGTGGCATGAGCTGACTAAAAGACGGCTGAGCCCCGATCGAGCCACCTCAGCCTGCGGTGGCATGAGCTGACTAAAAGACGGCTGAGCCCCGATCGAGCCACCTCGGCCTGCGGTGGCATGAGCTGATGCAATTAGGAGATTTTGAGGTAGACATGCGTCTGGTTACCAGGACAGGTTTCTGAGAACTGGCTCCCGTTTCCTGGTTCCGGAACCAGGAAGAGCCCCGGAACCGGTATGGAATGGAGCCGGAGATCTAGTAAGGACCAGAGTACAGTAGCGAACTGTACAGACAGTGCCAGCGAGAACCAGCAAGATCGTGCCTGGAATATACACAGGGATCCAAAACAAAAACCAAGCAGAGCCTGTTATATGGCCAGGGATCCAGTGAGCAGCAAAAACACAGCCTGGGATCATGCCAAATATCCAGAAAAAAGCAGCACGCGGCAAAAACGCAGGTGTTATGGAATCCTGAGGATTCCATGATCCTTGGCTGTCAGCCATGTATGCATCACAACCGAATTCTCTCCTTGGAGTTCTGGGATCCGAACCAGGGTCTGCTTGACTGCGAGTCAAGACCTCTACCAAATGAAATGACCGGAAAGGACGCCTGACGATGGCCGAAGAGTTAACTAGCCGCAACGTTGTATGCTTACAAACACACCAAACAGGGTCGACAGTCTGAACGATTACTCCATCTGTGAAACTGATGCCTCGGTTCAATCTCCCCGCCTAATCAATATATTGGATGTAGTTTCCGATGATCTATCGGTCCAGTGACAACTGCCCAATGGAAATTCCACGGTAATGCTTGCCAATAAGCCACGCAAAACATACGCCAGACTTTCGTCTTTGTGACAAAACTAGTGGGAACCAGGAACCCGTCTGAAGTACACCCAGTCTTCGGGTCCAGGCACATGTCTGCTTATACGTAGCGGGATAATTGCAGGCGGCCTCGACACGGAAACCCATGGGAACTACAGACAACTTGTTCTTGACACAATCCATCTGAAGCTATGAAGCGTGCTTACTTATTTACGTGCATTTGTACGAGCCACCAAAACCTCTTTAAACAGCATGCAAGAGTGCTGTCTGGGTTGGGATGGAATGTCAATGTCCGATCTTCGGTGAGTGAAAAGCCATGTGGATAGCTTCAATGTCCGATCTTCGGTAAGTGAATAGCCATGTGGATAGCTCCAATGTCCGATCTTCGGTAAGCGAATAACCATGCGGATAGCTCCAATGTCCGATCTTCGGTAAGCGAATAACCATGTGGATAGCTTCCATGGACGATCACATTCACTAAGCTTCCATCCTCATTCAGGAGTCCATTCCTTGACATAATTCATGAATTTTTCATGCTTCATGGTCACAATTTATTATTGAAATTCGTCAGCTTTTCCCCACTGACGTCGGCAATTCACGTGAGGTCGGCAGTTTCCTTTCCCGGGCTTTCTCCGCGGCCACGGACGATTGAAGCAGGAACGCGACTGGCAGTCGCTTTACTTCAGAGCGTCCAAATAACGCGCGGTAAATCACGAGGGCATTTAATGATAGCACTGCGTTCGTTCCAATCGTACGTTATATTCAGATGCAGGAGAGTTGCTGAGTACATTGATGAAGTTTGTTTCCATACAGATGCTCGTTGAGTGAAGAGCACAAAAAAACAACCTTCGGCCGTTCTACAACTTATCAACAAATCATTATCGCCAAAAGGGGGAAAATGTTAAAACAATCACCACAAAGCGAATAGAGCAGCTCTCAAACCCCACGTCACTTGTCAAAAATGACCTGGTGGAGCACAGCCTTGGACAGCCGGCACACGGCGTCAGCCCCACTTCCAGTGAGCCCCCATTCCCAGTCATCACTTTCCTGAACACCAAGGTTACCTGGCCCTAAATTGCTTCTCAGTAACTCCCGACCAGACAACCGCGGCGACCGGCGTGTGACCCCATCCTGCGTTCCCTTCAGAGCTTCAACGGCCAAGGGCGTTTGGCCGAGTCGGTCACAAAACATCCGCCGGCGGCAGGTACGTGCATGACGAGACCCACGCCCAGACACGAAGTTCTCAGTGGCTTTGACCTAGTGTAGCCTCTTAGATTTACACTTCGATTCGAAGCTGGCAGGATTGGTCGAAGGACGTGACAAAACTAAGGAAGGCACTGGGCAGAGTCGCAGCATCGCACTGTTACCGAAAAACGCCTTTGCCGAGGGCTTGAGATCGCACGCATCACGTGAAACGTCAACCCAAACGCTTGGTACCCATGTCCCCCCCTCCCCCTAGTGCCAGTCACTCGTCTTGCAGGTCCGCCCCCTCGCTCACCTTTCTTGGTCTCCCAGGAAGCAGATGGCAGGCCTCCTCCCCCCAGCACAGACGCTCACCTCACCGCCACGCGGCGCACAGGCAGCTATCACCGGCAGCGCCGCGCCCCTCCGCTATCACTGACCGACGCGCCGCCGCCCGCCGCCACTCCGGGCGACGTGGCCCGCCTCTCCCGCCGGCCGCCAGGGGGCGCCTCGCGCCGCCCTGTTTTTGTAATGGCCGCGCCGCCGCCGCGTCCGCGTGCCCCTCTCTCCGCCGGTCGAGCGGCCGCGCGCCGCCGCCGCCATCATGCGCGGCGCTGGCGTCGCTGGCATGCGGGCGAGTCCATCCCACCGCGCGGGGAGGCCGCACGCACAGGTGTAACGACACGGCCTGAGCGTGACCCCGCCGGAAGAGGACGCCACCGGCCGGTCAGCTACCGGCCGGCCGATCAAGCGGGGCGGCGCCCGTGAACGCCACGACTTCTTTCAGGAACTCGATGCTTTTGTCAGGTTCCCGACATCACGGTCGAGACCGAAGGTCCGAACCACTCATTTACTGAGCTAATTCTTTCAAGGAGGGTAAAACTATTCCTGTAGGGCCAATAAATGAAGCCATGTTCATCAAAACTCTCTCGTTATCACTGGTGGAGGATATTAGAGCACGCTGTACTGTGGCGTTATGAAATTCGCAGCGCTGTCGCCCTCAAGTCGAAACAAGTGCCGTCATCAGCACCAACCCGGCAGGCCGTCAAGCAGAAACCGGGTGCACGCAGTGTTCCCGCCAGGAACTGCACGCTGTTAGAACGGCAACTCGGTGCCAGACGCGCCTCAAACTGTTGGCGAACACAAAATGTGGATTGGCCTGAGTATCCAAGGGCAGTCATTATTACAACAGGCACAAAACTCAGCCTGCATACAGATTACGACTCTACAGACAAGTTACGGTTACAGCGACTTAATGCCCGCCTTCCCGCCACAGCCATGTTTCACACACTGATCTTTAGAAACACATTTGACTGAAGATCAGACGTCCTAAAGCATTTAGAAGCCGCTGTACGGATCCGGATCACCGATCGGAACCCATTTCACGAACGCCACCCTCAACCTCGTGATCACAGAAGTCATTTGACCGAGACCTCCCTGCGGCACCCCCGGCCGCCACGGGCTCACTCGGCTACCCCAACGTGTGGCGGTCCGCAAGATTGCCTGCGCTTCTCATGGCTATGGGGTCTTTAACGCTACCGCGGTCTGCGACAGTTTGGAGGCCTCTTGCATTGCTCCTGGCCCTCAGACCACATCGCTGAGCCTCTGACATGCTCGATACATTTCGGGTACCCCCGTGTCGTCGCAAATTAAATTTCCCAGTTCCGTGAAGCGCTCAGAAAGTCCGCTACAGGCTACAGCGACGTATGTTGGACTTGGTCTCGTGCAAACCATCCGATCGGGGATTTCAAGCGGTCGACAAAGGGATCCAGCGCCAACCCATCATTTGTCCGACGTCTCTGAAGTTTAGCAGCAAAGATACCACTCTCAGGATGCATAGCAGGGCCTGAACGCCTTCAAATGGCCGGTGGCGTTGCGGAGCGACGAAGTTATTGGGCCGCATGCTGTGACTGCCAGCGACATCTATATTCGCTTTGCTCCAGCAGAGGCCGACACAGGTACGAACATACTGCTTACAGCGACATCTTGTGTCCCTCATCAAAGCTAGCCTTCGTCTCATCACCGACGGGCGCCCAGTGTTATCTTACCTAGCTTATTGCCGGCCTTCCTCTTAACGCGGAGACAAATTGTCCTGGAGCGTATGCACTGGAACACGCAAACAGATGGTTATTAGGCGTCGGGTAACCAGATAATGTTTCGGAACAACGGCAAAGCATAACACGAGCCAGCACGGCCATTACGCAGCACGCTCACGAAGACGAGAGACGAGGGGAGACACCAGCGGCGAGACAACAATTACGCCGCATGAATATACAGTCGGTTGGGCCAGTTCCAGGCAGCCCGCGGCATTAGCGGCGACGAGAGCGCGGTGTTTCGGCCGGTCCCGCGGACCTCCAGCCGAGGAGGGCCCCGGCGCCAGTCCGGCGGCCGCCGCACTGTGTGTCGACCCCCAGCAGTCCCGGCAACAGAAGGACATCGCCCCAGGGCCCGTGACGGCGTCCAGACGCCGGGCGGTGGAACACGAGTGGACCCTCGAAGGATCGACCGCAGCCGACGCCGGTGGCGCTTCGCCGCCGCACGCCGCAGGGCGGCTGGCCGGTTGCCCGTGAAATAAAATCCGAGCGAGGCGCGGGAGACGGCATCAGAGGGTGAATTTAACACAAATGATGGCGCGGACGGAATAATTGTTTGCATTATCGTGCTCGTCTGTTTTTATTTTATTTTAGGATATACGTACTATGTGTACTTGCATACTACTCCGCGCTACCTCCGGTGCGCATGCTAACACACCAAACGAGGACAATAATCCGAACACTTACTCCATCAGTGATACTAGTCCCTCTTCTGAATCCCTCCGTTAAGCCCACGACAGCTGGACGCAATCTGGACCCTGCACAAGCGTCAGTTCAAGGTGCGCAACTGCATTTCCTGAATGCTACAGTAGGGGTTACGAAGGCAATGAGAAGAGGAATGGTCTGCCTCCAATGCGGGGATGCCCGGGAATTACCCGCTGAGGGGGGTATCATCATTGATAGACATCTGGTGCGGTCCCGACGACTGACTGTCCGTTCGAACGCCTCTAGCCGCTCCAGAACGTCACAACGCGTGCAAATCACGGGCCGCACGTCGTCACGCACCGTTCTGTGGAGCGCCAGCGACTGCCTAGGTCATGCTAGCGCCCAGGGGCCATGTTGCAGCGGGGGTGTGAGCCTGGGACCCTCAAATGGGCCGGCTCCACCTCGCGTGGGAGCCGAAAGCGCTAACCACTGGGCTATCACGCCCCCAGGCGGCTCATTATGGAGCGAAATGCGAATGACACGAAACAAAATATGCCATAAAAAAGGACCGGCGACGAGCCACCCGAGTCCCAGATTGCAGCCCGAGAAACAGAAATATCATACCGAGCACCAGAGTCTGCTCTCTGCAGAATCCTGCCTGCCACTCCTTCCTCGAGACAGAACGGGTCAATAGCAGGGCTTAAGCCTGCTGTAAAGAAGGACAGAAGACCGTCTTTGCAGGCAAGACCGAGGCGGCGGATCGTACGCGCGCTTGTCTTCGCACCGAACGCGTCCCTGCGTCGAGTGCATGAGGGGCGCATGGCTGGCTGGTGCTCTTTCCAGACACTCAGGGCCTCTGGGGAGCTTGGGCTTCCCAGCACTGTCATGGCCTCCATCAAGCCGAGCGTCGTGCGCTGGCCGAGGCAAGGACAGACGCGGTCTGCACACACGACTGGAATCGGGGACAGCCCAGCCCCGCAGCCTGACACCGCTCGGGTGCGCTGCTCGCCAAATGCCCCCCCCCCCCTCCCCCCCCTCCTACGCTGGGATGTCGTCGCATGCAGCGCCGCACACCCCGCGGAGGGCGGAGGCGTGCCGCCGCTCTGCAGAGCCGAGCAGGCGGCCGGCCGCCGCCGCGCACCGCCCTCACCTGGTGAATGTGGGAGATGACCTCGGTGTGGGTGGCGTTCTCCAGCGACCTGCCGTTGACCTCCAGGATCTCATCGCCCACCTCCAGGTCCGCCTTGTCAGCCGGCGACCCTGCCCACAGGGGACGCCGATGTCAGTCCGACGGACGGCCGCCACGCCCATCTGGGTAGCACGGTCGTTAGCTCACGGAGGGCAGGGGAGGACAGGAGCCGCTCTCATCTCTCGAGCTGTCACGATTTGTGGGCCCTGAACCGGCACTGATCTAACCACTCAGGTCCTGCTTCCGCCGGGGTGTTTCGGTTCTGAGTGCAGGATGTCTCAGTGACTACTCAGGTCCTGCTTCGACCGGGGTGTTTTGGTTCTGACTGCAGGATGTCTCAGTGACACGAGGATATCCACTGATCTAACAACTCAGGTCCTGCTTCGGCCGGGGTGTTTCGGTTCTGAGTGCAGGATGTCTCAGTGACACGAGGATATCGTACGGCATGGCAAGCTGAGTTTTGCACGAGAGATGTGGAAGACCATCCCAACAAGGTACCCTAAACTGAGTTGACCAACCACGTCAATGAATGGTCGTCAATGGTCGCGATGTGAAACAATTGTGTCGAAAGCCTTCCCCGCTCACGACTACGCCAAAACATACGGTCTGAAAGTTAACGCGCGCGCAGTCTTCGAACATATGCGCGCTTCGTTCACGCTTCTCTACGGCTTGGCAAACGAACTTCGCGCTTATTCAGGCTGCCCCTGCGACAAACATTCGAAACCGAGGTTTTACCTTGTTATAACTTTATGCAGTTCAGTCAGTCCGCCAAAAGTTCAGCCGTATTATCGTCTCCTTGATAGTTCTTGAAAAGAAAATGGCGCGATTGCTACTGATCTTGATGGCTCCCGAAAACAAGACATCTTCTGCCCGTTCGGTATCGTACAGAAAAACCTGAGCTCACACCCGTGACGCTCTATCAGTCAATTGCATGACGTCAAGTGATGCACCAATGGTGCGTGACTCACGCCACTGGCCGGAATGCGGGTGTCAACAAGAACTGAGCTACACGGGTTACAGTGTTCGACATCCCCATCTGCTTCGGATGCGTGTCCAATAAAAAGGGCACCTACGCTCCACGAGCCAACAGCCGCTCAGTATGTCCCGATCCCGAGCGCTTGAGCCTCCGGTCATGGTACTGCCAATTCCAACTTTGACTTCGACTTCGACTTCGACCTTGACTTTGACTCCAACTCCGACTCCGACTCCGACTCCGACTCCGACTCCGAAACCTACTCCGACTCTGACTCTGACTTCAACTATACCTACGACAGCGACGGCGACTGAGGCTGTGACTTCAATTCCGACTGCAACTCCAACCACAACTGCGACTGCAACTGCGACTCCGGCTCCTCTTCCCCACCAGCACCACCACGCCACTGGAGCTGTGTTCCAGCGGCAGCGGCCCGGTCCTCCCGCTGCGGCTTCATTAGGGGGCCGCCGGCAGCCGCCGCCGCGCCGCTGTCGTCCTCAGCCGCCTACACAGCCTCCCCGGCGCTAATCACCTGTGTCGGTGGCAGTCTGCCGCGGCGGCCGCGGCGGTGGCGGCGGCTGCGGCGACGCCACGACGCCCACCCGCGAAGGTGTCGGCCCCACCGCCCCGGGCGCCGGGAGACCCGCTGCCGCCAGAGGAGCGCGAGCTGGCGAAGGAGATCGACTGACGAGATTAGGGCGGGGCGAGATGAAGTGACGAGATTAGGGCGACGAGCAGGCGCGCTGCGGGCACGACGAGGAGGGAGGCGCGCTGGAGTGAGCCGCCGTATGACACGAGCGGAAGCGTCGAGTAGACAGATGGTGAAAAGGCCGGCGGGAGAGAAGCTCAAAAGGTGAAGGGAGGTGGGAATAACCGAAGGAACAGTGTGCGCAGTAAGCCAAGAGGCGAGCTTTGTTTGTTGAGTGGAGTGGTGCCATGTGGACCAAAATACCCCAAAATGGATGCAATATGGGTATGGACCAAAGTACCAAAATACGTCCCATACAGACCAAAATACCCCAAAATGGATGCAAACTTCGAGACTGCAGACTCGGCGGGCTTCAGGTTAACTATGAAGCATGCTGGCCGGAAACATCGGAGGCCTGCGCAGAGAAAATATGGTGGTTCTCAACCGCATGGCTGCACGTCTCTACCGCGCGCATACGTTGCAAAACAATGTTGTCCAGTCCTTCCAGTCTGTGTCTTTGTAACTTTGCTTTTGGTACGTGCACTCATGGGAGACTTTCGCCTTCTAGGATATATATACATATATGAATCTGTATATATAAATATTGCGTGTACATACACGCATATGTATGTATATATAATGCGCATATAAATACACACACACACACACACACACACAAACACACACACACACACACACACACACACACACACACACACACACACACACACACACACACACACACACCACACACACACACACACCACACACACACACACACACACACACACACACACACACCACACACACACACACACACACACACACACACACACACAACACACATATATATATATATATATATATATATATATATATATATATATATATACATATATATGTAATATATATATATATACATATATAAATATATATATATATACATATATATGTGTGTATATGTATATATATATAATCAGCGCTCAGACCAAGCACCATTCTTCTCTAGCTCGGCGAGGTTAGGACTCTAAACCGCACGGAATCTTAAGTCATCCCGCACCGTTTCCATTCCATGCCCATCTGCAGCCGCAGGGTGTAAGCAACTAAGGCGGCAACTTCCAAACTTTCCGAAAGCACTCCTCCGAGCATAAACATCTGGAGCCGACCTCATCGCCGAGTGGCTTGGAATCTCCCGTCTGCTCAGAAACGCGAGCGCAGACCGGGCGCCATGTTTGTAACCGTGTAAACCAGCCATCTCTGGCACCTCCGGGAATAGCCAGCGGTGGAGCCCGGCATAAGTCCGGCCTATCCTGGCGGGGTAGCCATGGGCCGTTGGGGTTTCGCTGCAGATAGGGCCGGTACTTGTGAGTGGTGGCGGGAGGCTGCTGGGGTGTTGCGCCGCTATCTCTCTTTCTCCCTCTCTCTCTCCTCTCTCTCTCTCCTCTCTCTCTCTCTCTCTCTCTCTCTCTCTCTCTCTCTCTCTCTCTCTCTCTCTCCTCTCTCTCTCTCTCTCTCTCTCTCTCTCCTCTCTCTCTCTCTCTCTCTCTCTCTCTCTCTTCTCTCTCTCTCTCCTCTCTCTCTCTCTGTCTTGCCAATGTTGCTGTGATCACGGGTCAGGCAGGACCCTGCTGCTAGGTGTACTGCGGAGAGACACGGCCGGGTCACAGCTGCCTCAGGCAGACCCGCCCGGGCGCAGCCAACCCAGGCAGACAGCAGGTGCAGCATCCCCAGACAGACTTCAGGTACAGCCACCCCCGACAAACTACTGGTACAGCCAACCTCGACAGGCTACAGGCACAGCTACCTCAAACAGACCACAGGCGCCCAACAAACCTCAAGCACAGCCACCTTATAAAGACCTGAGGTATAGACGGCTAACACACACCTGACTCCACGTCTTCCCCCCTCCCCGCAACCCAGACCACCGCTCCAGCCACCCCCGACAGACCTCAAGCGCAAGAGGCTCAGTCCGACCTAACCCGACCTGACCCGATCCCGAGCCCCGGCCGCGAGACCGACCGTAGGTACAGCTGCCCCTGCAAGTCCGGCCCCAGGTACAGCCGCCCCGGCAGACCCGGCCCCAGGTACAGCCGCCCCGGCAGACCCGGCCCCAGGTACAGCCGCCCCGGCAGACCCGGGCCCAGGTACAGCCGCCTCAGGTACAGCCGCCCCGACAGGCCCGGCCCCAGGTACAGCCGCCCCGCCAGGCCCGGCCCCAGGTACAGCCGCCCCGGCAGACCCGGCCCCAGGTACAGCCGCCCCGGCAGACCCGGGCCCAGGTACAGCCGCCCCGCCAGGCCCGGCCTCAGGTACAGCCGCCCCGCCAGGCCCGGCCCCAGGTACACGCCGCCCCGGCAGACCCGGCCCAGGTACAGCGGGGCGGCTGTACCTGGGGCCGGGTCTGCCGGGCCGGGTTGCCGGGCCGGGTCTGCCAGGCCCGGCCTCAGGTACAGCCACCCCGCCAGGCCCGGCCTCAGGTACAGCCGCCCCGCCAGGTCCGGCCCCAGGTACACGGCCGCCCCGCCAGGCCCGGCCTCAGGTACAGCCGCCCCGGCAGGCCCGGCCTCAGGTACAGCCGCCCCGCCAGGCCCGGCCCCAGGTACACGGCCGCCGCCGCGCGGACCGCCGCAGTCGAATCGATACGGCCCTGCCGGCCGGGATGGCCGAGTTTGCCCGGCGGCTTAGCGGCCCGACGGCGCGTCATTGGCCGCCGCCCGAACGGCCGGTGGGCTGTGAGTCGCCCCGGCAGCGGGGGCCGGGGGGCTGCGCCGGCCCCGCCGCCCGAACGGCCGGTGGGCTGAGTCGCACCGGCAGCGGGGGGCCGTGGGGGGCTGCACCGGCCCCGCCGCCCGAACGGCCGGTGGGCTGCGAGTCGTCCCGGCAGCGGGGGCCATGGGGGCTGCGCCGGCCCCGCCGCCCGAACGGCCGGTGGGCTGCGAGTCGTCCCGGCAGCGGGGGCCATGGGGGCTGCGCCGGCCCCGCCGCTCCACCGGCACCACTCACTGCTGCACAATGCCGAGGCATCTATGTGTGGCGATGTGGCCGGTGCGACCATCGTTCAGGGGAAAGGTTTTGATTTGCGGTGATATCAAAAATTCAGGCGTGGATGCATTTACCTGGCTGTATTAACGGCCGCGTGATCAAACCAAGGCTACCTATGATTGCAAACAGGAAACCAACACCATCTGAACTCACGTCGGTCATGCATGTGCTCCCAAACGGCATTGCATTTCCAGGCACCGAAGGAACCAATACAACCACAAACCGGCCGAGGGCGTAGCTCTAGGCGCCGCTGCAGCTGAGGACCCTTGCTGGGTCGCGGGTCGGCAGTACAACGTGGACGTATGTTGGTTTGGTGTGAGGGGTTGTGTCAACGTTGAGACGGTACTTGTTTGGTGTCAAAATACAGG